TTAAGTCAGCCACTTGATATTTTTAGGTGACGACCGAGTTGAGACGGGCAATAACACAACTTCAAAAAACAAACCTTCTCGTTCCTCCCAGTGAGATCACTGCGTTGGAGCCTGGGGGGGGCATCTCAAAAAAACATTTAACCCCGGCTGAGAACCAAACCCTGCGACCCCCAAATACATGAAGCGCTTTTTTCTTTTATATGATGGACAGATGGAGGAAGCGAAGGAAGCCGTTTGCGGTACTTTGTACGCCGCCGCCTGAAAACATGCGGGAGTATTAATCCGGGACAGATGCAGGTCAGTCGCAGGTGTATTAAATTTGAATGAGCGTACGCATACATCTGTGCGTATTTACTCCTGTGTGCGAGTCTGAGCTGTTCCATCTCTCCTGTCATCCGAGTGAGATTTCACGCTCGGAGCCTCGTCGGGCTCGCCGGCCTCGCCGTCGCTTCCCGCTTCCTTTAGTCAGCCCGGACCAGAGTGACGTTAGGAGACGAGAGTGGGCGGGAGAAGGGAGACCAAATGCCAAAGGCATCAGGGCCATTAATCAACATTAACAAATGGGAGGGAGAGGACGCAACTTTGGGAAAAACACATGCACGGATGGCCACATTTATCAAGGTGACACTTTAAAAAACACAACATTTAACGCAAAAAGTACCAGGATGTTTGGTCTGGTGTGGCGTAAAACGGCAGACGTCGACGTTTGCTGGATGGCCAGGAGTCGAACGTTTGAGGAAACAGGTGAGCAGAGAATAGAGGGAGATCCAACGTTTTTCCTCAGATTTCTGACAAACGGTTTTATTTTTACGATTTACTTGCTGGATTCTCATAAAAAGTGTTGATTGAAGGTTGATGGTTGACTGATTTACCAATCGGATTCAATCTAATCCAGGATTTTTTACAATACGTTTAGTAAAAGATCTGAATAGGTGTCCCACCACTGGACGTCATCATTCGGTGCAGAAACGTTTTATTCATGAGGAGGACAAAGAGGTCCGTCCAGAGTTCAAGTGTCTCATGAATATTCCGAGAGTCACAGCATCAGAAAGCCGGGATTTGAATGTGTGTGGGAGTTGAAGAGGATGTGTCTTTTTTGTATTCCTCATTAGCAAGCTCTCTTTTGAAACAGTGACACTGATGTCAAGGCCCAAAGTGACAGAGAAATGGGGGCCAAGAGTCATCAAAAAAGAAAAAAATGTGGCTTTTCCATCTGAAGCCCGACTCCCGAATGAGCGATGTTTGTATTCATCGCTCAAATAAGACGAGTCAGAAAGCCGACTTGGGTCTCAGAACTGATGTCAGTTAATCAGAGTAAGTCAGCACAGGGCTTGTTAGTGGTTTTCATCATTGATAATTCACCGTTGCGTTATAAAGGATTCTTAATCGGTCTTTCAACGGACCGAGCTCCAAGGACTCGAGTTCTTATTGGAGCCCCAAGACATTGTCAGCGCCTCTGCTTAATGGAATATACTGAAATCTGGGGGTTAAACTTCAAACCAAAGATCCTTGATTTGTCTTCAATAGATTATTGAATCAGGCGCTCTTAGCTAAGACTTTAGTAAACACAATATTGAGTAGTACATTAAATATGCAACTAAATCTGGCACTTTTTTATAGATCATCACGATATGAAAAACATTTCAAAGTGTTGACTTTTTCCATGTATGTTATTAAGAAACTGTAAAACTGGCGATCGTCTCCCCTGATTCGTCCAAAAATGAATGTGTTAGTATTATTGAGAATGCACAATTAAGTAGAAACATTATCAAAAAGTAGAAACATTATCAGAACAATCAATATAATTGTAAATAATATATTTCTTGAGGGCTTATCGGTGACTGCACGTTGCAGCAATGTTAGCAATTAGCTTGTCGGCTACGGTAGATCACAAACTAGCCCTGTTGCGACCAACCTTGGTGTCCGTACTGTGACGCTTGAGGTCCATAAGGGCCCGTGGGGCCGCCGTGGGAGTACGGTCCCACCACAGAATACATGGGGCCACCAGGGGACGGGTGGGAGGACAGAGGCGGTCCGGACTGAGGAGACGCAAACGGAGAGCTGCCCTGGTTCCTCTGCATGTTGGACATGAACCCTGAAACACACCAAGCAAGACAAACGAAACGCACGTCAACACTTTGCTTAGAAGTTTCCCAAAAGTCCTTTGAGGAGTGAACGCGACCGCCTGGCAAAAATGAATATGCCGCTGGAGGGGTCGAGCTTAATGATTCTCCAACTCAACGACTTGTAATATCCATTAAATGTCCTTTGTGAGGAGACCCTGCTTTCCTAATCCTTCCCCTTGGCTTTGGCTCCTGTTACTCGTAGACACACATCGTGAGCAGCACAGCACGGAGCTCGTATTCAACAACACATGCACAGAAGGGACAGGCTGACATGTAAGAGGACCCCCCCCCCCCCCCCACACACACACACAAACACACACAGGATCAAATAAATATAATTATGTGCACCAAATAAGAGGGCGATCGGACCACGGCGACGATGTTATTCTAGGGCGTCGCGTCAATAGATGAAGCCTCTCAGGCTCGAACTCGCCTCCACCATTCAGATTGACAGTTGGGGGGGGGGGGGGGGTGTAGTTTGGCTACTTTGAGTGATTCGGTGTAAATGTATCGGGTCTGCTCCGCTCTACACTTTGATAAGCGATCTGCTTCGTTGAATGAGCGTGCACGTACTCTTCTGCGGGTTTTGGGGAAACTGCGCCGTTGGAAAGTGCTCGTATAATTCCTTGTTTCTGCTCAGAGAGCAAGTGAAAACTGCGAGGAGGGAGGAGGCAGATAAAGGTTTTAGAATAGTACGTGCACTTTTACTTGCTCTTGCATGTGTGCACATTTTTTGTTTTTCTGAATGTGTGTGGGGGGAGATAAAGGAGAGAGAGAGCAATGTGTGTGCAGGAAAGAGGCCAAAACAGAGCGAGAGAGGCAGTGAGAGAGAGAGCGAGTGTGGGAGGGAAAGACAGAACAACGGAGGAAAAGAGCGATTGGGGCCCGAAAGTGCTTAGGCTGCGAGCGCCGGGTTTAAGGAGCGGGGACATTATTGTAATGTTTTGCTTCCATTAGGGTGAGGGGATTCTGGAGAGGAGAAAAAAATTACAGTGTGTAATATCGCACTTTAAATTGCTTGGAAAATGGATGGGGAGAGGAACATTGTGCAGACAGTGCTAAAAGCAAATAACACATTCAAGGATTTCTCTCTCTCTCTCACACACACACACACACACACACACACACACACACACACACGCAGCTCTTTCTGGCAAAGCGAATGAAGCTCTCAGCCGGACAACAACAACAGGCAGCCAGCGAAGCACGCGAGAGACAGAGGGTGGGGGAGAAAAAAGGGACATTCAGCGGATTTATGGAAATGAAGAGTTGAGGGATGCTCTTAGGGAGGCAGGCACTTGAGCAAAGTGGGGCGTGTGTTGGCGAGGGGGGGGGGGGGGGGGGGGGGTTATCCGTGCTAGGAAGAACAACTAAACACATCTACGAGCCTTGTTAACCGGCACAGGGTTTCTCCAAACGGAGCCGGGGGGGTCGGGGGGGGCCTCGGTTTACAGGCATTAGAAGGCGGCATTAAATCTCGGGCTTGATTTCATCAGGTTGAGAAACCTCTTATAGAGCTTCACTCCCTGTCTTCATCCAGGCACTCGGGGGGGGGGGGGGGGGGGGGGGCGGCGGCTCACAGTCGTTCTTCCAAGATTGAATCCCGCTCTTTCATTTTTTTTTTTTTTTGTGTTGTGTGGATGCAATTTTTTTTTTCCCTCTCTAAATGAGCTATTCTGCTGTTTGTATAGTAAATATTCGAGAAGTGGCCGTAATTGCTGAAAACAATTTCCCATTTGGCAGGCGCAGGCGGCTTGTGGGTTAGCAATCATTTCAGAAGCCTCTGGCAACAAGTTGCGGGCCAAACTGAAGTGGCTTCATCAAAAGAAACACACACTCTTACTTGTACCAAAGTACGGATACGTTGATGTGAGTATTTACTTTTACATAATCACCAAACAGTGGGTTTCCCCATCTTGGATCGTCATGACTGATGGTAAAACCTCGCCAGTCTCAACTACAACAACTCTCATCAAATAAAACGGATATGTTAGAAAAGTTACTTTCAGACACGAGCTGGCGCCGTCAAAAACAAAATATGAAAGGCGTGAAGACGCTCGCCGAGGAGCTCGCTTTGGAGCGGAAGAAGACAGAGGAATTGTTGATTCTCTGAGCTTTGCTAACATACAACCTTTTACGTTTCTGTCTTGTGATCTCTGCTCTTCCCGGTGTGGAATGTAAAACAGGAGACAAGAAAAAGACGCGTTTGACTTACACAGACTCTTTGAACCTGAGTGTGATGCACAGACTGGATCCTGGAGGAAACTGGGTTGCTCTACCAATGTATGCGTTTTGTCCTCTGTGTGTGTCCACGGTGCAAACGTTCACCTCTGTGAACCCGTCGCCGACCTTAAAACGGTTGATTTGCCGCTACCTTTCTCCTGAGTCATGGGCGAGCGGGTGACGGGCGGGTGGGATCCTTCCGGTCCGTTGCCAGAGCTCTGGGGGGCCATCGAGGAACCTGAGGGACAACAAGTCGAGTCAGGAAGATTCAGATATCCACACGACGCATGTCGGGGCTACGAAGGCTCAACCGGCTGTAACAAAAGCACATGAAAATAAAATGCTTTGCATGAATCCAATGCGAGCGAGGACAATAGAAAATTGATTTGTATTTCTCTATTTGCGGCGGCGCTGCTCGCAAATGGAAGGAAACTGTTGTAACTGCCGTAACAATAGAGCACTGAAGGACCACTTTTGTATTTTTTCTCTGCATTTCTTTCACGCCGCAGGAGCAACCCGCTTGAAACAAAACGCATTTTCTGTCATTCAAATGTCGGAGTGTTTCTTTAGCTTCAAACAAAAAGGGATCCGAATTGCACGGACACACCGAGAGCACGATCGCCATACGGGAATTGTTTGTTATTCGCCATCAGCCGAGTGACAAATGCGCTTCCAGAGGACGTGTCAAGTCACTGGAGGCCGCGTGTACGCATCACAACCAGAGCAATGCCCCTGTAGAACGGCGCAGCCATTTGAGGGTCATTGATTAGGGGGTCCGCGCAGGTCTGTGGGCGGCGCCTGTTCCATTGAAATCCAATAGCGAGCTGAGGGTCTGATTAGGACAAACGCAGACGGAGACCGTGGTGGATTGATTTGGCCCGGAGGAGGGGAGGAAGAGGGGGTGAGGGGTGGTGGTGGCAAATTAACCTTTTATTGTTCAGATTCAGACCTGCGGCGGCGAGGAGAGGGACGGCCGAGGGGGGAAAAGTGGTCGTTTTTGTCAGACTGGCTTGTACTTTGCAAACACAGCGCGCCCGAACATACCAGACGCATAGCCGTAATTCAACCGCGCATGCTCAGCGAGGACAGTCACTGAGCATTTGTTCGAATAGGGCACATGATTTGACTCCTTTCCTTTTTGTACCCATGATGCCACATTTTGAAGTAGCGCTGGAGTGATGTATTACCCAAATGTTTCTGCTACAGTGTCCTTCACACTCACAGTGAATAGAAATCCCTTATTATAAAGAAAACACTTTCCGTTATTCAATCACGTAGGACAAAAGTGTGCTATTTCAGGACATGTGTGCGTGTGTGTGTGTGTGTGTGTGTGATGCATCTGTCCACGGCAGCGGTAAAACATGACTGGAGGTGGCACACTCTCTACAAAAACAAACCCAATTAAGTCGACATAATTGCTTTGCATAAAACTGTATAAACAACATTTCCATACACCAAGGCTGCCTACACACTAACACAAGCACACACACACACTAACACAAGCACACACACACACACACACACAGATGTAAGAGTAATTGGACAAACAAGTGTGAAGGAACACACTCAAACTCACGCGGCAAACAAACGTAAGAGCACAGACGCAGTGTGTGTTAAAATATCCTCTCTCACACACACACACACACACACACACACACACACACACACACACACACACACACACACAGACGGACACACAAACAGAACCCCTGCCTCACACATGAATAGATCCAACTGCGCTGCTTCAAAGAGAGAATATTCGATTAGTCTGTCACCACTCGGCGGAGGGAAGGCGGAACGTCAGAGTGCAAACATCGAAGAAAAGCCTTTCACCAGAAACACTGGCTGTGTGCGGCGTTGTGCGGCTGTGTGCGGCTGTGTGCGGCGTTGTGCGGCTGTGTGCGGCTGCGTGCGGCTGCGTGTGGCTGCGTGCGGCGTTGTGCGGCGTTGTGCGGCTGCGTGCGGCTGCGTGTGGCTGCGTGCGGCGTTGCGCGGCTGTGTGCGGCGTTGTGCGGCTGTGTGCGGCTGTGTGCGGCGTTGTGCGGCTGTGTGCGGCTGCGTGCGGCTGCGTGTGGCTGCGTGCGGCGTTGTGCGGCGTTGTGCGGCTGCGTGCGGCTGTGTGCAGCGTTGTGCGGCGTTGTGCGGCTGCGTGCGGCTGCGTGCGGCTGCGTGCGGCGTTGTGCGGCTGCGTGCGGTGGGGGGAGAAGCGCTGCTTTATTTAACGGCTGCGATACAAAACATCCCATTAAAAAGTAAACCACACAAGGGAAGCAGGAAATTATTTAAGTAATCATAAATCATAAAGCAAATCGGCCCATTTGATGAACAACAACGTTTCAATGGCATGTGGCAGGTTGAACCAACTAAATACCCCTCAGCTCAAACCTGCAAAGTGCTTCTGCTGAAAAAATCTACTTATTAATTCCAATTACATTTTTTGAAATGTAGCGTGTAAGTGTAAAGTCATTTGTAATAACAAAAATACCGTCTACGCTGCTGTGTTCATGAACACCGTGCTGTGTGTGTGTGTGTGTGTGTGTGTGTGTGTGTGTGTGTGTGTGTGAGACTGGAGCGGCCTGAGGCCTCAGAATTAGCTGCAGCACAGGTTTAGGTGGGTGAACGAGTAGTGAGGACGAAGTCTGCTTAAGGAGGTCACTGAACCCGCCAACAATGGATGTCGACCCCGCGATAAAAGCCAGCCCCCCGTGTGCGTATGTGTGTGTGTGTGTGTGTGTTTGTGTGTGTGCAGGGATGCATGCCAGGCACCAGCTATGCTGTCAGACTCTGTTTGTTTGGATGGCAGAGTGCTGGTGGCGTGTGTGTGTGTGTGTGTGTGTGTGTGTGTGTGGTACAAATAGGGAACAGTGGCCTCCACGCTCCAATACGCTCTCCACAAACCCGTGTAAGTTGTCACCAGAGACGATATCAATGCAAAGACATGCGAGTCTGCGTCCGTGCAATGTGGGTGTGAGGGAGAGAGAAAACAAAGAGGAGGGGGGGGGGATAAGAGGGAATGGAAGAGGAGGAGAGTGGAAGTGTAGTTGAGTGGGACTAGGCCACGTTGTCTCCTCTTCCTTTCCTACCGTGCCTTTCTCCTCTCCTCTCCTTACTATCATTTTAACGAGGTGCCATTAAATAATTACGTCCAAATGAAACAAACAGGGAGCCCTGGCGTGTTTAATCCGTACCATCAATAATTCATGCGCTGAGTCTTTGACGTGCAGTTGTTCTTAAAGTGCTGCTGAGAGAGAGAGAGGGAGGGAGAGAGGAGAGCTGAATGTCAGCCCGAGCCAACTGCTTATCTTTCCCTGTCCAAAGAAAAATGGCCGCCTTGTAGGAGGTGTTTATTCATTTGTGATTAAAAAAAAGTGCTGCCCCCCGCATTCAGGTATAACGGGAACAGAGGGTGCCGAGGCAAGGTTATTTTTTCTGTTAATTAATTGTAATTAACCGATTTTCATCCCGGAGGAACATCAGCATCCTTCCGAAGGGGTTTTTGATGGCGGTTCTTTAAACGAGCCTCATTAACGGCGACCTAGCAGAGGCCGCTAGGCTTTAGAGATGAACGGACCCGATGTTCCGATGTGGTTTTAGAGAGACGACGCCTTCTGCATTAAAGAACTTGGAGCAGGCGGGAAGAACATCTTGAACGAAAATGTTTTTTGGGGGAATTATGCTGAACTATAATTTCCCTTTTGTAAAAAAAAAAAGAAAAAGAAAAGGCACTTAGCAAGCCGGTCCATTTGCTACTCTTTGCTCATGATACAAGTTAGCGGGGGCCAGAAGTAATGGGACTTCATTGCAGTTTGGGAGATAATGCTGCTCACTAAAAACCCAATACGCATTTTAAATTTTGCCTCCGCGAGGACTGTCGAGGCAAACCTGAGGCTCCTTTGAAGACAGCGAGTGCGGCCTTTGAAGCCTTTTTTTTCATCAGGGTTTCAAATGCAAATGCCGTAGAAGTTCAAAGCCGAAGGAGAGTATTCGTGGCCACATTTCAGTTTCAGGGCCCTGGTAATATTAAGTGAAGGAGCTGCTGCGAGCGTGAGCGTGTGTGTGTGTGTGTGTGTGTGTGTGCATGAGTAACGCCACTGAAGAACAAGTAAACACGAGGGTCAGTCAGTCAACCAAAAGCTTTTCATTAATTGCCGATGAGAGCAGTGTGCTGCTGTACATTAGGAGTTTGTGCAGATATATTTATACACCAAGATGCCTTCATGCACATGCGCAGACTAACACACACACACACACACACACACACACACACACACAGGTGCGCGCGCACACACAAACTCCAAGGTAATATCCCCTTCTCGCTGGGCCTTTTGGGGGAAACAGGCAGATGAACAGCGGGCTCTAATAATGGTGGTTTAGTTCTCAATGGGTGCGAGTCAATGCCTCCCTGAGCCGGGGGGGTAATGCCAGTTAACGTCAGGAGAGAGAGGGGGGGGGAGGTTGGGGGAGGCGGCGGTGGCTCGCAAAACAAGTGTTCTCCCAAGATCCTCATTACTTCCATTGCTGAGCAGCAACTGTATGTAAAGTAAAACCTGCAGCTTAAGCTAAAAAAAAACAAAGAGCGTGCGAGCGATGGAGGGAGAGAAGGAGCGATGGAGGGAGAGAAGGAGCGATGGAGGGAGAGAAGGAGCGATGGAGGGAGAGAAGGAGCGATGGAGGGCGAGAAGGAGCGATGGGGGGAGAGAAGGAGCGATGGAGGGAGAGAAGGAGCGATGGAGGGAGAGAAGGAGCGATGGAGGGAGAGAAAGCAAGAAAATTAGTGTTGGTGAGGGAGAATAACTGCGCACTGTGCTCCTGTTAGGGGTTTCTAGTCGTACGGCGGCAGAATGGGCGAACTCAGCAAGCCGGCACCATACCCCCCCCCCCACGCGGTTTAGTCGGGACGGCGTGCTTTGGGAATATGATGTCTGCGGGGGGAGTGCATCTTGCAACTCGAGCAACCATCAGGAGGAGGCGGAGGGAACAGAGCCATGTGGGAGTGTGGGAAAGAGTGGAGCAGACGGGGGGGGGGGGGTTGGAGAAGAGTGGAAAAAAAGAGAGCTGGAGGAGAGACGTGGAGAAATAAGAGGGATGGAAAATTCCGCCTCGTTCGTCGGCGGGAGGCCACGGCAACACAGCAACGCCGCGAGCGAAGAAAGCAGCAGAGACAAACAGGGATGGGGAGGGAAAAAAGGGGGCGGCGACGAGGGAACGTGAGACACAAGCGGCAACACAAGAGAGCCC